GAGGATTTGACCACCTTTGGAGTGAAATGGAAAATGTCTTCGATTCAAATGGCCCAACTCGACCCAAAAGAATTCGCATTGACTCAATGAGTGGAGAAGAAAGAAAAAACTCCTATAAACGGCTGTTCTGTGAAATTATTGATGTCGTGTGTCAGAATGTCTCTGTTAGATTTTCGGAGAACGCTACGCTCCTCTTCTTGAGTCTTCTTGATGCCAGATACTTTCCCATGTATAGAACCTCATTTCCTGAAAAAGCATTTTCCTGTTTAAAAGAAAATTATGGTGCATTTTTTGACTTTGTTGCCTTAAAGAGTGAACTTTTAGTAATGTTTTCGGACCCAGATATGGCAAAAGATAGTGTGTATGACTTACATCAATATATGTATGCTCTTCAGTTATCATGCGTTTTCCCGCAAATCTTCAAATTATGTGAGCTAGTATTAACAATACCAGCGACAAGTGCTGCAGATGAACGCTCATTTTCAGCTCTGAAGAGATTAAAAAACTACTTAAGAAATTCGCAGAACCAGGATAGGTTGTCATCACTGGCTTTGATGAACATTGAAAAGTCCTTCCTAAACAAACTGCAGTCCAAACCCAGCTTTCTAGATGAGGTTATTGATCTGTTTGCCAAGAAAAACAGAAGAATCGAGCTGAATTATAAACAATAAAGTAAGCATTAATTATATTCCAGGTTCACAACCCTGTCATTTGATGGCTATAAAATTGTGTTGATAATTATGTGTTATTTTAATATATTAGCTTAAATATACAATACATATTAAACTATTAGCTGTTTTCTTTTAAATAGAAGATAGAAACTATAGGGTATGTAGAAAAAATTTATATACACGTATATAAAGTTGCTTCCCTGCTTTCGGTAGTCATGCTACGCCACTGATTTTCTGAGAAGTAGTGGTTCAGGAACGGGGTCCACTCAGCCTAGTGAGGATAATTTAAGAGCTATTTCAAGGACATAGCTGCTCCGGTCTAGAAAACCGAGATTAACGGCCGTGGGAATCAGTTTTGATGACCAAGTGACACACTCTATCCGAAAAAGTTGGCACTAACTTAGCCGACAAGCGGCGGTCGCTCGGTCGGTGTACTTCGCTTGCGGACTGAAGGCCACGGAGTTTGTTTAATAATCAGTAAGATTTCGAAGTTCTTATTTCATATTTTAGTGAATACCGCGTTACAGTACTTCGTCTTGTTCAAATGGTGAGTTTTCCTTTCATGTACGTATAGTTTCTGGAAACGGAAAGAGACCGCTGAGAGTTGAATCGGACGAATGTAAAGAATGAACCATAAAATACCAATTCCAAATTGTTGTTGCGTGTCGGATCAAGAGGCACGCCTGTATCCAGATGGAGTTGCCAGGTTCATACAGCCTAAATCGTCACTCCACAAGCTAATGTAACCAGTAACAGATATGGTTCTGATAAATATATTATTTGACCGATTTAATTACTTCGTTATTTAGACTGTCTTCTACTTAAGGGTTCATTTTCAGTTAAAAAGGTAAAGCTATCCTTATAACAGGCCGTGAAAGCCCATAGGGTTGTGAGACGTCGAGGCTCCCACATATTTTCTAGACCAGGCATGTCCAACTCGTCGATCGCGGGACGATTTTGGGTCGGTCTCATGTAAATTCACTTAATATGATTATATTCAGATTTTGAAGGGAAAATACGTATTAGTCATTCCTAGTTTTCTGTTCTTATGTAGCTTACGTGAAAATTGCTTTACACTTGTGTTAAGTGAACTGTGGGGAAGTCCCTACTCTATCCTTATCACGTGAACTCTTATTTGATCACTCGTCGTCAGCCGCGTGTGTTCTGATGCAACAGTGATGGACAGAACGTGTGATTCACTTCGTTCCCTCCCTCCAGTCAACTGTGAATCCCCGTACGTTGAACTAACAAGTGAGACGTATTATTATATTAGCTGTTAGATGAGATTTGTCGCTTCGCTGTGCATTAAACAAATATAGAGTTTGGGGATGAGCTCAGTGTAATCAAAGGGACAGTAAGTGCTCTGCCCACGTTATTTTATTAATTTCGAAAGCGTCTGTGTGCGTGAGTCAGATAAAACAGTTACCTCAATATAGTGGAAAATGCAACGCCTCAGTATCCTTGCCAAAAAAACAAGGAAATCTGGAACGTCATTATAATGCTCTCCATAGCAATAAGTATGATGCTGATTTTCCACCCAAAAGTGAAATTCGTAAACTTAAGCTCAAAGACGTTAAATCGAAATTACCTGCTCAGCAACAGTTGATGGCAAAACTAAGGCCACTTTATAACAATGCAACCAAATTATCCTTCAAGGTCAGAAAACTGATAGTTAAAAAATGCAAACCTTTCACTGAAGGGGAATTTTAAAAGAGCGTTTACTTGAAATAGCTGATAATCCTTTTGAAAGATTTAAAAATAAGAAAGAAATCATAGCTACTATTCAAGATCTTCAATTATCAAGAAACACCATTGTGCGGCGAATAGAAATGATGTTTGGAAACACAACTGAACAGATGTTGAAAGATGTTTCCAATTGTGTTGCTTTCTCCCTCAAACTGGACGAATCTACAGACATCAGAGACACAGCCCAGTTACTAGTTGCTTTTACAACAAACATCATGTTTCATGTTATTTTTACCAATATTTTTGCTTAAAGCGAGGTACGACGATAGGAGAGGGTGATAGATCATTGGAAGGTTTGGCACTGAAAAGTTGATCACAAACTGTTTGAAGTAGGACAAGCCTGCTCTAGACAATCAGTTCACAGATGGCGGTGAGGTTGCCAGCCTTACGCACCGGTCGCCCTTTAACCCCCAGGAAGATTCCTGGTACTCATTTCTGTTAGAGGCCAAGTCGACCTCAGGGCCATAGTGCTGCTGGAAGGAGTAGGTATATTAAAAAAAAAATCCACATCATCGGACTCGAACCCGCGACATTCCGGCTTGTAGCATAGTGCCTTAACTAACTACACTACCCAGCCTTGAACTCAGTGTAAGACGAACACTGCTCAAAACACATAATTTACAGTTAAGGAACCCTCTTTGGAAATATATTTTCGTGTGTTTTCCCTACATGTACCATTATCTTATCACGTATTTTTGTCATAATATCAAACTAATTATGGGTGCCTGTGCATGAAACACAACGTTATATGATACGAAGAAATTACAAGACTGTGAACTGCAGGATGCATTCAGTGACAGACACTGAGTTGGAAAGTGTAATACAGAGATTTAAGTCCAGTCCTATCACTTAGCTATAACCTCTTGTGAACATAAAGCGTTATCTTGGAATGGGGTACTTACCGTCAGTCGTGGGGGATCGATAGTTTCAAAACAACGTGTGATGAGAAATTGAAAACTGAAAATTTTCGCGTATATTAATAAATTAACGGTCGGAAAAATTTAACGTAAAGAGTTTATACTATCAAAAACTGGCCACATTTTAAATACAAATATTTTCATACATCTACAAATAGTTTCAGTGGTATTTAAATATGTAATAGGCATACTCTTCGACAAATGTTCAAAAATTTCACTGAAATATAGTGATACTAAATGCTTCGAATTCCAGGAGGGCTGAATATCTTACATGATAACAGGTTGTAAAGTAATTCAGTTTAAGTGGTTCTGATATAAATGACGTTTAAGGAGATTACCATAACACGTTATGTAATTTATATATTTCTCTCTCCCTAAACTTAGATCTAAACATTTCTAATATCTTGTCTTGACTCAGTTATACACCACGAGCTTATATGTGCCTATTTCAATGTGTTAAAAATATTGTCACGTGTCACAGTGGCTAAAGACAGGGTTCGGATTAGTAATTGGATTTATTAAGAACGTACAGGTCATAACTACAAATCATTATTACACTACTGCTGCTTTACCCAATTTACAATCACTCCACACTAACCTCGTCAGTTTATCTGTACTAGTTTTTACGGACTTATCACACAAGGACTATAACAGTCTCACTGAATTACAAACTTCAGATATTACACATAAATAAAATCTTCTAATCGCACGTTAAGTCTTCACAGGCCGATTTCAAGTTCTTCTCTAGTCCTACGAGTTTCAGTTCGCTCTCCTTCAGCTATGAACTTCCCGTGGCTATCTCCTACCGAGAATTGACTCGTCCCTGAACCGAACGAATTCTGTCACTTATATAGCCGAGGAACGGATACGAATCACAGGAAACACATGTCACGTGACCACTATCCAACGCTGCGTGACGTCACCGTGAACACCGAAAACACGGCCTCCTCTATTGTTGAGTGCATATATTTCGGGTGTGGCCTAGAAATGACGTCCTTCTATTGTTGCTTATTGGAACATGTTTACCGAGCGTGTGGCCTGGTAATTGGTATTCACGTTACCATATAACTATTTTCTTTTTCCAGATCATAAGAACTTTGATAAGCATTGGCGAAATTGTGAATATGGCAGTCCTCGGTAAGATTATTGAACCAGTTCTCACGGAAGACCAGAGCATGGTGGACTGTTTGGCAACTATCAGCGAGAGATACTTTCCTACTGGCCGCACTCTGGTGCTCTCCTGGAACAACTGCGCAGGAAGAACCGGGACCTGGACAAATGAGATTGGATTGCTGGATCGTATTCATCTCGCTGCTCGATGGCCCGTCTTCATGTCTTGTGCGAGTGACATGGACAGAAATTACACTTTTGGATGGGGCGACAAACACGGCAGTTATGTGTTGACCGTTAGGTTTCAGTTCAATGATGAGGAGGGGGTGCTGTGGGATGTGAGGAAACAGATGCAGATACTCCAGACCCTTTCATCATGGAATCCCAGAGCTCGATTTGTCATCATGATGACAGGACAAGGTATCGAGGGCTATCGACAACGAATGATCAAAGCTCTACTGAAGGATTTATCGGCTATACAAGTACTGAACGTAATTATTTTAATTAATCTCTCTGAACATTCCTCTAGCAGACATACAAACAACCCATCTGACATTCATGTATTCACGTGGTTTCCTTTTACCCGGCCTTCAGGATACTGCGGAACTCTAAGTCGTGCAATCGTCATAGACGCCTGGATGTCTGACAGCCACCGGTTCCTTCTGAACAAAGATCTCTTCGAGAGTAAAGTTCCTGAAAACTTGGGCTTATGCCCCTTGAGAATATCTACTTCTCACTTCCCACCTTTCGTTATATTCCCAGATGAAAATAACACAACACTTTCGTCCATGAGGGGAGTCGAGATGGACATGTTGCGACATATATCTGAAGCAATGAACGCCTCTGTCGTGTTACCACACAGAATAGACAATGGCACAGATAGTAAAGCACAGAATGGCGTTTGGACTGGGCCGATCGGAGATTTGCTGTATAACAGGAGCGATGTGGCACTTGGAGCCTGGTGCTTTACGCTGGAGGACAGTTTAGTCGTTGACGGCACTAACAGTTACTTCACCGAGGAGTTCACCTTCTTCATACCTCGTGCGGAAATGTATCCACTGTTCTTGAGCATGTCCCGCGTGTTTGCTCCGAATGTATGGCTGCTGATTTTCGTGGTAATATTACTTACTGCAGTTCTGTTGAACCGTGTGGCTCTCGTCCGCTCTGTAGGAGAGTCTGACTCATACAAATACATCACTAATTGCTTGCTTAGGGTGTGGTCTGTAATTGTGGGTGTGAGTGTTCACGAGATGCCTCGATCCAACCCATTGCGTGGGGTCTTCTTGCTCTGGGTGGTCTTCTGCTTAGCTATAAACACTGTGTTCCAAACATATGTCACCTCCTACCTTGTAGACCCAGGCTTCAGATACCAGATTGACTCTCCAGAAGAAGTAATCGAATCTGGTTTAGATGTGTATGTAATCGACTTCCTTCATGCTTTTTTAAGTGATAATTTACTGAACCAACTGAAATCATGGCGCAAATGTGGAAGTGGAAATCAGTGCTTAATGATAGTTTCAAAGTCGCCTGGTGTAGTTATGCTATCAGGGAAAGTATTTGTGGAATATAAAGCAGATAAACAAAATGGCGTCATTATGTATCATGAGTCCAGTCATGATTTATTTCACTTCCATATAGTCATGGTGATTAAGAAAGGTAGCCCATTTTTGGATCGTATGAATATTATCATAAGGCGTTTAGTAGAGGGTGGATTTCCGGGCAAGTTCTTCAAGGATATTATCGAGAAGGAGAACATGAGGTCTTTATCAGAACTTGACCAGTATTTCTCCATGTCGGTTTATCACTTACAATCAGCATTTGTCGCCATGTTTGTGGGAATGTCGCTAAGTGTCTTGTTGTTCTTCGCCGAGCTGATGACAAGGCTGATCCAACGAAGTAATCAGACTAACTCTGAAATTGTATGAACTCCAATTAAATTACTTCAAGCATATCTACTGCTTCTGAAACATGTTTCTGGCAACTCTGAGAATTGCTGAAGGCACTTGCAGGTGATTTGAACGCCTACAGATTATTAACACGTTTACCTCAACGCTTCTTTCAAAACTAACATAAAGTCAACCTAAAACGGCACCAAAATCTTTACATCCTTGTTCAAGAGAAGTAAGTAATAGAAATAATAGAAAATAATTATTTTTTAAAAAAGTTATATTCTCTCATCTAGTAAAGAAAACTCCTTGCTCTTTACGCAACCCAACAGTTCATCCTCGCGTTTACAAGAGCCCCCCACAGAACGTATACTGGAACACACTGTCGCCCTACTTTTTCAGACCCAATTCACAGTTACCCTCGTATTTATCTCTCGCTTTTTTGCCAAATTATATAATTGTTGCTAGTTTTCCATTCCATTTTTAATTTGCACCTTTTTTCATCATAGGGAGCCGAGATAGCGCAGTCGGTATAGCGACTGGCTGCGGGCTGGACGACCGAAGGGTCGGAGTTCAGGTCCCGGTAAGGTAAAAAATGTATCTTCCACACATCGTCCAAACCGGCTCTGAGACCCAACCAGCCTCCTATCCAATGGATGCCGGGGTCTCTTTCCCCGGGGGTAAACAGCAGGAGCGTGAAGCTGACCACTCACCTCTAACTAGTACTGAGATCAGGAAACTGTGGATCTACATATCCACTTCCCCATACGCCTTCATGGCGTAGTGCTTAATACGCACAGGGACAATTTTACCTTTACCTTAATCATCGTACTAAATGGCCCGCTTAACGTTGTAGATATTGTCATGTGATATAGTCGAAGTTTGGATTTATGATCAAATTTTTTTGGACTTTTCATATAGCTCGTGGCTACACTCTGCAGTTTATTGTTACACACACACACACACACACACACACACACACACTAATGTCCACAGTCACGTCTTCACTGTCGTTGCTTGGTAGCGGTTTTCAACTGCGGACATTCCCCTTCCTCTGGGTTCCCGAACTGTCCCCGGCCTCAACTACCAGCTTCTCACAATAGCTCACAAAGACTGAACTCAGCCGGTTATCTAACTAATTCTCACTGAACCACCAACTCAACTGACTGACTCAAGAGTCAGATTTACTTCGCGACTGGCTTTTTACCGTCAACCAGGTTGTCTTGTCGCCAAACCCCTTGTGGCACACGACCAGATATTTTCTTCAACTAAACCCTTATGGTCGTAGTCCTTATGTTGTATCCTCTCTGACGAGAAGATGAGTTTGTCTCTTTTTGAATAGGTCTCGCCTTTGTCAAGTGAACGTATCGCACTTGTAGCATAGGTCTACAGCAGCGGTGAAACATGCGGCCTGCGGGCCGCATGCGGCCCCCATAACTACAAAGTGCGGCCCCTCAACTTTTAGAGCTAATTTATATTAAAATCAATATTAAAATGTTAGTAGAAATATTTTTTGTAAAGACTATTTTCCAACAGACCAGAAGACAAGAAGTGTCACGCAGACATAAATTAGCAGGCTGCAGGAAATTCAATGTTTTGCTATTTCTAATATAATTTCTTGAATAATCTCTCTTTTTACGTATTGAAAAGTTGTTTGATACTTGTCAAAATGGCATTCTCTTACTTTTTAAAACTGTAAGGTATGTGACTTTAGGTAATTATATTGAAATTATTCCTAAATATTAAATAGAATTAAATTTCCTTGTATCAAAATCTAATGTATATTTCTATTTTGAAGTGCGGCCCTGGACTATCATTTATAGGGCTGAGGTGGCCCTCTGTACAAGTGGAGTTGGACGTGCCTGGTCTACAAGGTTATGGGGAATGCATTTTCTTCCCAGGAAATTGAAATGACTTACTCTCCCTCATATAACACCTCATCAGTGACCGCGTATAGAACACCGTTCATCTGCTGCAGTGGAATTGTTGTTCTCATGTCTGTTGGGATGACCCCGTGATCGTTACTCAGCCAATGCCTAGGAATGGTCGTTATTTTCTGAACGATTATTTGTTAACTGTCGTTCTATAGATTCTTATTTCACGATCGTTGCCTAGCAACGGATCTACATGCCACAATTTTATCTTGAATGCATATTTACCGCTACGGAAATACGTGAGATGATAAACAGGGGCGAGTGCTTTGCCGTTTCTCTTCGCATTTCCAGAAAACCGTGGTGTTTGTTTAGACAGCACAGCGATAATATTAAAATATGCCGAAGCACTATTTTGCTCCATCTTGTGTACGGGCGTGAAAATTGGTGTCACGCATTATGGGAAGAACGCAGACTGAGGACACTGAGGAAAATGAGGGAATCTAAGAGTAGAAAGTAAGAGAAACCCCGGGAAATCTGCATAGAACGGAACTTCATAATCGGTATTATTCAGAGAATGTTTTAGCGCCATCAGATCTAGTAAGACAACTCGACGGTAAATGGGACAGACGAGAATATATACAGAATTTCATACCGAAAACACGAAGGAAAGAAACCAACTGGGAAACATAACTATAAGATTATACTATTAAAATGGATTTTAAAGAAATAAGGTGTGAAGGTGTGGATTGGGCTCAACAAGAAGTTCGGGAAGTAACATATGACAACTAATTTTCTTCAGGTGGTGTTAGCTGCAGGTTGCACATAAAGACATTGCCAGTCGCTTTACCTGATGGCGTCAATAGTTGGATGACTAGCGAATATTGCAGACAATGTGAAGGGGAATCGTCTTGACCTGATTTGAGGCACTATCCCAGCATCTGATGGAGGGAATGAGTAAGACCAAGAAAATCTGTATTCCCGAGACCACATGGTATCACATTTCAGAAAAAAAAAGTCATCATAACTACCACTGTGAGAACCTAGAAACTTTCATTTCTTGTTTTACAGAACACAGTAAACCAGCGTTAATCCATATTTATGGGGAAGGTCATCCGGATTAAGCGATAATTCGGATTAATGAAACAAAAGAGAGACCCAAAAGACGAGAAAAACTTGAAAAATTAGTAAATGAAAGAGATTATAATAATATAGGTAGTGTCGGTGAAAATAAATAAAGAAAATATCACTGTAGGGCCTTTATTTAAAAACTGTCAAAAAAAAAAAAAGCTGAAATTTCGGGTCTCTTTCCTGCAGCGCAAGTCAATCCTGGATATTTTCTTGCGTGCTTTCAGTCTCGCCAGATGCACTCAGCACAGTCTGAAAGTCCTCTTACTCCAAAATTCCATGTGTTATTTAATGTATGTACTCAACTGTGAAGAGATATTTCATATTTCGATCCGGATTATCCGATATAAGGATTAAATATAACCGGATTAGCGAGGGCTTATTATACAAGAATGGGGCGCACGGTAGCGTAGTTGATTGAGGCATCATGCTAGAAGCCTGAAGGTCGCGGATTCGAGTCCCGATCAGGTGGATTTTTCAATTAACCCAATCCTTCCAGCCGCACTATGGCCCTGGGATCGACTCAGCCTCTAACAGAAATGAGTACCAGGAATCTTCATGGGGTCAAAGGGCGGCCGACGCGTAAGACTGAAAAATTTACTTCCATCTGTGAGCCGACTGTCTAGAGAAAATGTGGGAGCCTCGACGTCTCACAAACCTATGGGCCTTCACGGCCTGTTACAGGGAGAGTTTTACCTTTTTTTACCGTTATTACTGTACAAGAAGATTTAGTTATTATTTGTTCATACTACACTAAAAAGAAGGGAAAATCATAACATAATTAAGAGTGCTAGATTATCTGCATAAGTTATTTAATTGATTAGGCCTATTGTGGAGATCAAAGGCTTTTACACCAGTGACTAAGAATAGCGCTGTCTTCTGAGAGTCTATGCGAAACTGAAACTTCAACCCTGAAGACAGAGGTAATACATTCCTCTGAAGCGTCGGTAATCTTCTACAGCATTGCATCCCACAAAACAGTAATGTTCAACCTGTTATTGGGGCTACTTAAGCACGATTTTCAACTACATAACTGACCCAGCCCGGAAACGAAGTGTGATTGCGAATGTGTAAATTGTAAACGAAAAGAAATGAAGTAGTCTTTGCAGATTTCAAGTTAATACGCAAAAATTAACCTGAAAAGACTAAGGAAAATCACGGAAATCCGAGTGAAAGTAGTTGATATATCCAATATTCGAATCAGACTTCATATGAATAAGCATCACCACTGGAATCGTCTTTATATCCCATAATACTTAAAAAGTAGGGATATGGGAATCATAAAATGTACCCAACATAAGTGATAAGTAATTATTATTAATGTTAATCCTGTTTCTCTTACAAATGCCTCACAACGTGCTCACATAACAGTGGCCTGATTATGTTACGGGTTTAGGTTCGCATTGAGGTATCATTTCTACACGTATTGTACAATCAATGTCTGTCGTAGCTATGGGCTACCGTGTGCAGCAGCAACTGTACTGAACCAACTGCTGAGGTTGTTTCCATATATAATTAGTTTCTCATTATCGTTGTCAAGTTGTTTAATGGACAGAGCAGCTGATGTCAATTCGTCACGGATTTTCTTGTCATCTTCAGGGTTATCGTGCCCAGCTGCAACAATAAGTGCAGATTCCTTGTAAGAAGCTTCATAACCACTCAGCTAGTCAGGAAATCCTACTCCTTAAACAAAATTTTAAGGTGCATTATCGTGTTCACAAGAGATGACATGGGAACTCAACATGACCCAGTCCACAATTATACGCCTTATTTTAAGAATAGATTTAATATTAACTTCGTATTTACGCTTAGTTCTACCATGTAATCTCATTCTTTCAGGATTTCTTAATGAAATGTTGTATCTGTTCTCATTTCTCCAACTTGTGCTATATGCTCTGTCAATCTCAACTCTTTAATAAATATTTTGTAAATGTTGCAACATATGAAACTCCTCATTAAGTAAAATCTATTTTATACTATATTCAACACATATTTTATTATTATTATGCACTCTTCTTCATTCAGGTTTATCGTGGCCTTAAATCCTGCTCCTCCCTTCTGGATAATGCTAGTCTTCGTGTTCCTACTTGCCATGTTCGAGACTTCTCTACTTTTAGCGTTCGTCCCTCAAAAAGACACTGTCCCTCTTCTCGGTGCGCCCTTGCTACCAACGTGGTGGGTAAAGATCTCGACATATTTGCAGACGGAGCAGTTTCTCTGAATCATATTTTACAAGCTTGTACCAAACCTTTTACTGTGTTACTTGATTAGTGTTTGCATTCACTACAAATGTGTATACCTCGGCTAACTTTAATTTTCATATGTAATTGGTTTTAATTTATTGACTTGTTATTAAT